GGGCAAAATAGCCCGACGTTGGACGCCAAAATGTAACGGCGTAAGCGAATGCAGACAGATTGTCAAAATATAGACAGCTTTAATGGAGGAATAGACTTACAGAACCACCGTTCCTGCGCTGGGAGCACGCGCCAAATTTATAGGAAAACTTTAGCCTGAGGCGAACACGCCCCCTAAGGGGTGGGACTTAGCCCTACAGTACTTGTGTCTTGTTTTGGTGGCTGTAACAGTTGTGTGTTTATTGACCACTGTGCTCCTAGCTTCCTGCCTGGAGTCCAGCATTGGTGTAAACGTGGCTCTGATAAAGAGACATTCCTCTTTTACCTCATGCTGCCGTGCTAGCCTAAGGCACGGCTAGCTGTCTTGTTGGTGAAAATGGCTAAATGAAATAATTGAGGCGGGAGTTGTTACTCTGACTTTGTGTTTTAAAGCTTGAGTGACAATAGAAACAGAAGTGGATGGGGGCAGGGGGAGATAGGGGAGAGACTGGGAGGAGAGGAGGGAGAGGAAACTGTGATTAGGATGTAAAATACATAAATACTTTTAAACTTTTTAAAAGACTTTTATTTATACAATGTTCTGCCTGCACATATGCCTGAAGGCCGGAAGAGGGCACCAGATCTCATTTTGGATGGTTGTGAGCCACCACGTGGTTGCTGGGAATTGAACTCAGGACCTGTGGAAGAGCAGTCAGTGTTCTTAACTGCTGAGCCATCTCTCCAGCCCCAATACTTTTAAAAATCGTAAAGCGTAAGTGGCATACACAGCAAGCACGACTGGGTCAGGGAACTAGCTTTTTCAGCCTGAAGTCCAGCGTTCGGTCTTTGGAACACAGCAGCTCTGCTCAGGAGTGCAACTTCTTGGTTGTTTTTGTTTCTGAAGAGGGTCACCACCAAATGTCCAGACTGGCCTTGAACCCGCACTAATCCTCCTGTCTCAGTCCCACAAGGAAGTTTGATTCCTTCACTCTTGCTGAAGGCCTTCAATGTCATAACAACTTTCCCTGACCACTATAATCAGATGAACTCTTCTCATGCCCAGCATATTAAACATGACTTCTTTACTGACAGTGAGACTCTTGGTGCATCTGGAAGATGCTGTATAATGTGGATTCTGAGTCTGGAAGGTTCGGGTGTTTGCACCCGTTCCAGGAAAGTGTTTTATCACATGGTGTTTACCAAATTCGATGACACAGCCTCTTGGTACTTGGCAGCCTGTATAGAAGTAAACCCCAGGAATACTTTAGCAAGAGTTAATTCCACAAAAACAGAGGCTGCTTAGCTCTGTACACTCGACCTGACTGTGCCTTTCTTCAGCTCACACTAGCTCTAGTCCCGGTCCACTGTGTCTGCACTCTGCTCTCCCCAACTTACATTTGCTTTAAGTCTAACATTTGTGTTACAGCCGAGGCCATAACATTTTCATAAGTTAGCTGGAGCTTTTAGAACAGACTTCTTGCGCACAGCACTGGGCACACAGTGTTCCCTGTTTATATAATAAATATCTGGAAAATAAAATTCACCAGTAGGCTAACCCAGCAGTACACTGTGTCTTTGCCTTTCTCAGAGTTCTTTTAATGAGGTGAAGAATGACAAGGTTTGGGTTTTTTCTTGACATTATTTTGCTTAAAATTTCCATCAGTGTTTTACTTTCTTGCCAGATGTAGATGGTAGGGAACTCCATCGATTGCTTCTCTCTCTCCCATACCTTTCCCTGTCTGCTTCAGTCCTTGATCTGATGGCCGAACTTCTACACATTTCATTCCCAGACTGTCCAGGACTTTCCCTCAGTGGCTAAATTCTCTTTCTTTTTTAAAATCTTCTGTAAGGCATACATGTTAACCGAATTCTATTTCAATAGAAAATAATTTTAAGGAAATCATGGGGGAGTTTTTAATTGCATTTTCATGCCTCTAGAGCAACTTTTGGAACTGAATTTACAGCAGGGTTTTATCTCGTGGAAACCCACCTCTTCCTGAGTTTGTTTCACACTGTGTGTGTTAGATGTCATGGGCCCACTGGGTTACTCTCTAGGGTAGGTAGTTGATTAGTAACCTAATCAACTCTCCCACCCACCCAACACCCCTTTTCTCCTAAGACATTTCTCCCTGATCCCATGTAGATAAGTATATAAAATTATGATGTATGCCAAGAATTTGTATTTTAAAACAATTCTTGGCTAAAATAAATTTTCCATTTATTAATGATTAAAGCAAATTTACATATTAATGAGATGAATGTGCTTACTTATTTTTTATTTTTTTTTTTGTGCTTACTTATTTTTGCAGAAAGAATTAAGCCTTAGCTGCATATTTGGTACTGAATGCCATGAAGCATCCTCAACACTTTTCATAACTATGGAAACTTTGATCCTCAATGCAGAGACTTCTTCACCACGATATGTAGTACAGAATGATAGAGGCATGCTTAGGGCCACTTCAGAAATTACTGGAAATTCTATCCCAATCCCAAGCCAAATTCATTTAATTACCTTTTATTAAAAAAAGTAGTAAGTTAAATGGCAATTTTAAATTAAAATGTTCTAACAGTACTATCCAAAGGTATACTCTTTTGATACTTTCATGCTAAGGAACAACAGTAGGAAAATATCAAAGCCTTTGTTTCCTGTGATTCCTTTGTGTGCACAATAAAAATGCAACAGTTTATAACATACAATGATCTCAAATCAGAGCCGAGCTGGAACAGGCAGCAGCCATCGGAGCTGTGTGCCAACGCCATGTGCAGTGTAAAGTGTGTGTGTGGTGTGTGTTCAGAATGAAGCTGCCTTGAGAGGACATGAGCCCTGCCAGAATCACCAACAATTTTACTGCCAAAATTTTCATAACCCCACGCACTAAGTTATGCGACTTCATACAAGGATATGAACTACAGTTTATGGTGCTGTATTCTGAAGAATGTGTGTGTGTGTATCTGTCTGTCTGTCTGTCCTGGAAAGTGGGAAGTAAAATTAGAGAAGAACGAAATGAATTTTTACTTATCTTTTTCCTTTCATGTGTGCTTAATTTAGTCTATGGAAATAATAGTGCATTCACATTTCTCTCATTTATCTGATGTGCATGAGTGAGTTGTTCACATGTCTGCCTGCCTGCACCGTGTGCGTGTCTGGTGCAGAGGCCAGAAGAAGGCATTGGGTCCTAAAGAACTAGAGGTCTAGCTGGCTGTGAGCCTCCACGTGAGTAGTGGGAATTGAACCCAGGTCCTCTGGAAGAGCAGTCAGTGTTCTTAACCACTTGAGCCATCTCTCCAGTCCAAGGAAAAATAGTATTTTAATGTTTGTACTGTAAGTAATTATGAGCTTTCCCCCAAATACCTCTTACTCGATGCTTCAGTTTGCCGCTTGTACATTGCCCTCATGTTCCTTTCCTGTCTCTACAAGCCAATCTTTGTGATAATTTCAGAGAGCCACTGTACTGTTTAAAGCTCCCCGCGAAGCCAACAGCAGCAACCTCCCCTTTATCAGGCCATGAGGCTCATAAAACATCAGCTATTTGGTCACCAAAATCACTCCATGTGCTAAAACTACTGTTCCCCCTCTTATTTCTATGTGGCTATTAGTTATCCTGTCACCTTAGTTGTTAAAACCAATTAGTTCACATGGAGTTTTCTAGGCCTCCTGTCCTTACCAGTGTAAGTGGGAGGCTGAGAATAGATTTCTAAATACCCCACTAATCTGAAAAAGGGGAAGAGGAAAATTAATTTTGCAAAATCACTCTTTCATTTTTTTGGTAAAAGAATAACTTAAAGTGTGTATGCATGTATGTATATGTACACACACTCTTTTTTTTTTTTTTTTTTTGAGTTTTCAAAACAGGGTTTCTCTGTAGCTTTGGGGCCTGTCCTGGAACTAGCTCTAGTAGACCAGGCTGGCCTCGAACTCACAGAAATCCGCCTGCCTCTGCCTCCTGAGTGCTGGGATTAAAGGTGTGCGCCACCACCGCCCGGCCACACTCATTTTATTACATATACTTTGTAAATTTCCTATATAACTTCTTGAGTTACTTTATAAATAAATGTTTATATTAAAAAGAAAAAAATAATTTTTTTGAGATAGAGTTTCACACTCCAGCCTGGCCTGGCCTAAAACTCATCAAGTAGCCTGGGCTGGCCTCAAGTTTTAGTGGATCCTTCTGCCTCAGTTTACCAAGTGCTAAGACTATAGTTGTGTGCCACCATTTCCAGCTAAAATACTTCTATTTTACATTCAGCTGGAAATAAATTGATGGGATGCCGAGCAGCATAATTCTTATTACTGTATATTAATCCCTTGAGCGTGTTAATTGGGGAAAGGAGCTGGCTGCTTATACCAGAGGCCTTGTGGTATCCTTTGCCATTTCGTGCTGTCTCTGAAGAAAAATAGAAATGCTCTTAGTCATATAAAGCTGACGTGTGTTCCAGAAGGCACTGCTGAGCAGTAGGGAAGGGATGTCGTACTCAATAACTCTGAGTTTGGAAGAAACAAGAATTTTGAGGAAAAGTTGCATTCATTTACATATCTATGTAAACTACAATAAATTGCAGGTGAATTTGAGTTATATACTGACAGTTACACCATTGAAAATGCAGACTTTAAGCCCTGGTGGCATGCACCTGCAGTCTCAGCTACTTGGAAAGCTGAGGCAGGAGGATCATTTGAGTCGGGGTTGAGGACAACTAGAACAGTATTGCAAGACACAGCTGCAAAAGTTGGCAGGAAGACAAAACAAGCCTAGAAGGCATCGGCGCTGTCTGCACATGGAGTCTGAATACTCCCCAGTTCCTCTCGATTCTAAGCTGCTGAAGAGCTGGAAAGAGACGGAGGTCGGTGTACGATAATGCACTTGTCTCTACCCGCGGCTCTTTGGGCGTCACTTCAAGCCTGTCTGCTCCACATTCACAGACTGAAACGTAGAGGCCTTTCCCTTCCTTCCAGCTGGGGACCTTGTGTTGTCCACATACACAGAGGGAACAGATTTGATCTTTATCTGAACTTCTGTCCTACAGGTGCATTGAGAATTACACAGGAGCTCGTTGCGAAGAGGTTTTTCTCCCAAGCGCCAGCATCCAAAGCAGAAGTAACCTGTCGGCAGCAATCGTGGCCCTGGCGATCCTACTCACGCTCGCCATTGCAGCGCTCTGCCTTCTGTGCAGGTAACGGAAGTGGAGACACCTCACCCTCTGAAAGAAAGCAGTACACAAGGCCGCCGTCTCTGAGTAACTCGCATGCTCTTTACTTCAGACGTTTCTCCAGATACTGTTGTATGCCCGCCGTTATCATTTGAATACAATTTTGTTATAAACCATAAATCATTTTAAAAGCATCTTAAGCAAGTCAACTGGTTCCTTGCCACCGACGTCATCTCTTTCTGTGACGTCTCTAAGCCAGGAGAACCCACCCTCCCTACAGTAACTATGCTTACGTCACACAAGGCTTTAGGGGAGGTGTTTTTAGAGAAGTCTTGAGTGCTAAAGGCTATGTGACTCACACAGTGCTTTAGAAGCTTAAAGCACATGGCTGATGTGTGTGGTCAGTCTTTTCTCTAACATTTGTTATGTGCCAGACACAATGATCATAGTGGCCAAGAAGGTAGACATGTTGCCTAAACTCATGAGCTATTTAAATCTAGAGCGACAGATAAAGAAGCAGAAAGTTAAACTGGAGGAACTGGCATCTTCTAAGAGAAACAAAAGGAAAAAAATGACATGTTTCAAGGCTACACACATCAAAGATCACTTGCATTGATTCCTTTTTATTGTTCTTCAGTGTTTTTTGAAATTTATTTTTAAAAGCGAGCATGAAATTAAGTTTAGTAGTTATTTTGTATTGATTAATAAGTATTAAATATGCACGGGTTACTCTCATCTGGTTATGATGAAGCTTATGGTCATTGTAAAACAATCCAAGTTGTCTTAAGAAGTTAATATACCAAGAATAATATATAGATTAAATAATCTCATAAACCCTCATTAAAATTGTGAGGGACTTTGCTCTTTTTAAATATGTATTATGTCATGTGCATTATGGTGTGCTTTATTCCAAAGTATCATTTAAGAAACCCAGTAGATCTCATCTCATAATTTTTGCATCTGGAGTGCTTCAGGTACAAAACTTACCAGCCCATTGCATCGGATTGCATTTCCTGTGTGATCGGCCATTTACATGTGCTCTTCCTCAGTGTGGCCTTGCCACTCAACCAGCAAGAGTTAGAATTTAGGCCTAGGGCTCTGTAGTTCAGACATGGTGTGCTTGTCTGGCAGGCATAGCATTCTGGGTCCAAGCCATTGAATGGCGATAAGAAATAGAATTTATTTCTTTAGAAGGTACAACAAGTGCTTTAGTCATGAACATTGGGTAAATGTTACAGCTGATAACACAGCCTTTGAGTGGACCAAAAGCTCCACCTTTGAATCAGTGTCTTGTAAGAAACCTAAGCAGAGAAAAAAGAGCCCCAGCTCGACTCTCAGTCAGCACAACTGCTGGCCATCTGAATGAGGCTCCCTAAGCATCCTGCTTACTGGAACTTTCAGGTGGCTCATGTTATCTCCTGGCCGCCTGCAAACACAGAGAGGCTCTAATAGGGGGAAAGAGCTCAGCGGTCAACCAATAGAACCACGAGAGAGAAAATTTTAATCTAGTGCGTTTAGAGTAGCGTGTTACAAAGGAGACAGGAGTCATCGTGGGGCTGTACCCTTCACTCTGAATCCCTCTACTATGCTTTCCAGCAAAATATGCCAAAAGATAAGCTCATCTAATCCTAATTTTTCATTAAATAGTTTCATCTTCTGTTGATTGGTTATTGGGCTACTTTGTATAATACAACCTTGGATGATCTAGTTTTGACGGTAGTAACTGTCAGCTACTTACTATGACTTGAATTTATACTAACATTTCCTATATTAGAAACAAGTTCCCAAAAGTCCTATGTTAATGGTGTTTGAAATGTTGGACCTTTGGGTGACGATTGGACCATGGGGCTCTGCAGAATGAACGGATGAATCCTTTAGTGCACAATAGAAGATAGAGGACTTACCATTGGAAGACTGTGCTGTTCAAGTGAGCATTGTCTGACTTGCTGGCCCGGTCTCACAATGTGATACCCTGTGCCATACCATGACCCAGTTAGATGGTTCTTACCTGATGAACAGTTGTCAATGCCATGGTCTTAGACACCTCAGTGTCTGGAACCATGAGTTAAATGAACATCTGTTCTTTGTAAATTACCCAGTCAAGGGTATTTGTATAGCAACAGAAAAAGATTGATGCAACCTTACAGTCTAATGGCTTAAAAATCAAAGGTTTCTTATTCCTCATATGTAATCATTATGGGTTAGTGCATGGATTGGATATGGCTGTGCTAAACATAGTCTATAGTTTATAGTTTATAAAGTGAGACCCTGGTACAAAAAGAAGAAAATTCTAATCTGAAGTGTCCTATACCATGCTATACCAACTCATGAACACTTTCAGTAATGTAACAGGGTATAAGATTAACTCAAAACAATCAGTAGCCCTCCTGTACACAGATGATAAATGGGCCGAAAAAGAAATCAGAGAAACATCACCCTTCACAGTAGCCACAAATAGCATAAAATATCTCAGAGTAACTCTAACCAAACAAGTGGAAGACTTGTATGACAAGAACTTTAAATCTTTGAAGAAAGAAATTGAAGAAGACACCAGAAAGTGGAAAGATCTCCTATGCTCTTGTGTAGGTAGAATTAACATAGTAAAAATGGCAATCTTGGGGCTGGAGAGATGGCTCAGAGGTTAAGAGCATTGCCTGCTCTTCCAAAGGTCCTGAGTTCAATTCCCAGCAACCACATGGTGGCTCACAACCATCTGTAATGGGATCTGGTGCCCTCTTCTGGCCTGCAGGCATACACACAGACAGAATATTGTATACATAATAAAAAATAAATATTTTTAAAAATGGCAGTCTTACCAAAAGCAATCTACAGATTCAATGCAATGCCCATCAAAAGCGATGAAAAATTTTCACAGACCTCGAAAGAATGGTACTCAACTTCATATGGAAAAGCAAGAAAACCAGGATAGCCAAAACAATCCTGTACAATAAAAGAACTTCTGGAGGCATCACAATCCCTGACTTCAAACTCTACTATAGAGCTACAGTATTGAAAACAGCTTGGTATTAGCATAAAAATAGGAGGACCAAATCGAAGACCCGGATATTAACCCACACACCTTCAAACACCTGATTTTTGACAAAGAAGCACAAACATATCAAATGGAAAAAAGAAAGCATATTTAACAAATGGTGCCGGCATAACTGGATACCAACATGTAGAAGAATGAAAATAGATCCATATCTATCACCATGCACAAAACTCAAGTCCAAATGGATCAAAGACCTCAACATAAAGCCAGCTACACTGAACCTCAAAGAAAAAGTGGGAAGTACACTTGAACGCATTGGCACAGGAGACCATTTCCTAAATAGAACCCCGTAGCACAGACACTGAGAGAAACAATAAATGGGTCCTTCTGAAACTGAAAATCTTCTGTAAAGCAAAGGACACAGTCAACAAGACAAAACGACAGCCTACAGAATGGGAAAAGATCTTCACTAACCCCACATCATACATAGGTCTGATCTCCAAAATATACAAAGAACTCAAGAAACTGGTCATCAAAAGAACAAATAATCCAATAAAAAAATGGAGTCCAGACATAAACAGAGAACTCTCAAAGAGGAATATAAAATGGCTGAAAGATACTTAAGGAAATGCTCAACATCCTTAGTCATCAGAGAAATGCAAATCAAAACAACTCTGAGATTCCATCTTACACCTGTAAGAATGCCCAAGATCGGCTGGAGAGATGGCTCAGTGGTTAAGAACACTGGCTGCTCTTCCAGAGGTCCTGAGTTCAATTCCCAGCAACCACATGGTGGCTCACAACCATCTGTAGTGAGATCTGGCACCCTCTTCTGGCGTGTGGCTATACATGGAGGCAGAATGTTGTATACATAAAAAATTTAAAAAAAAAATGGCCAAGATCAAAAACACTGACAACTTATGCTGGAGAGGTTGTGGGGTAAAGGGAACACTCCTGTATTGCTGGTGTGAGCACAAGCTGGTACAGCCCCTTTGGATATCAGTATGTTGATTTCTCAGAAAATTAGAAAACAACCTTCCTCAAGACCCAGCAATACCATTTTTGGGTATATACCCAAAGAATGCTCAATCGTGCCACAAGGATATGCGCTCAACTATGTTCATAGCGGTGTTGTTTGTCATAGCCAGAACCTGGAAATAACCTAAATACTCCCCAACTAAAGAATGGATAAGGAAAATGTGTTATATTTACACAATGGAGTACTACACAGCGGAAAAATATGACATCTTGGAATTTGCAAGCAAATGGGTGGAGCTAGAAGACATCATATTGAATGAGGTAACCCAGACCCAGAAAGACAATTATCATATGTACTCACTCATAAGTGTTTTTTTAAACTTTTTTTAAATATTTATTTATTATGTATACAATGTTCTGTCTGTATGCCTACAGGCCAGAAGAGGGCGCCAGACCTCATTACAGATGGTTGTGAGCCACCATGTGGTTGCTGGGAATTGAACTCAGGACCTTTGGAAGAGCAGGCAATGCTCTTAACCACTGAGCCATCTCTCCAGCCCCTCATAAGTGTTTTTTAAACATAAATCAAAGAAAACCAGCCTACAAATCACAATTCTAGAGAACCTAGACAACAATGACGACCCTAAGAGAGATGTACATAGATCTAATCTACATGTGAAGTAGAAAAAGACAAGATCTCCTGAGTAAATTAGGAGCATAGGGACCTTGGGGGAAGGGTTGAAGGGGAGAGGAGAGGCAGGGAGGGGAGCAGAGAAAAATGCAGAACTCAATAAAAATCAGTTAAATATAAAACTTAGAAAAAAAAAGACCTTGTCTCAAGGGAGTTAGGCAGGGAAGGATAGAGGAAGACACTGACATTCTCATGTCTCCACATGGGCAAACATGCACAACACACATACACACACACATACACATATATACGCATACATATGCATATACATACACATATGCACACTCATATACACATATATATACACATACATATATACATATATACACATATGCACACACTTATATACACATAAACACATACATGCACACATACATACATACATATATACACATACACATACATATGCATATACACACAAACACACATGCATACACATATATACACATACACATATACACACATACACATAAACACACATATATACACACATCCACACATAAACACATACACGATGGCAGAGAAGGAGGAAAAGAAAAGGAGGGGAAAATGTTTAATAAATGAAAAAAGAATGGAAGCAAACAATTCTTTGACTGAGCCCGCTGGTAGCTGAAAGTGCATTGACCTGAGAGCCTTTTGGATTTCCCATAACTTAGGAAATGATGCCACTTGAATGAGGTCAAATTGCCCCCAACCCCCAATGCTAAAACATCTTCTAGAATTGGCATTTTAGGGTAGAGGTTGGTGTGCTTTTAGAAAATGTCATGTTGCTATGGCTTTATGATGTAAATTCATTTTCACTAATGTAAGTTACCACATTAAGTTTGGCATATTGAAAAAATAAACCACTTTTACATTTTATTTTTATTTAATATTTAAAGCAGTTTTATGTAAGATTATAGTCAGATGACCCAAAATTGATGGTGTTTTAATGTCGTGAATTAGAATTGTTCACTAAAGCCACCCATGGTTCACAAAGGGTCCACAATGGTGGGAAGTGATCTGTGTTACAGAAACAGCCCTGACATCGCATCTGGGCCACGCCGCAGGCTCAGCAGCTCCCCAGCAGCATCTGTGCCACGCCGCAGGCTCAGCAGCTCCCCAAGTGTCACTGTGGCCTCTGCTGGTGGGGTGCTTAAATACGGGTACAACATTAGGGCAGCCCTACGATTTTAGGAAGTTCTAGAAAGAGAATGAGCTTCCAAATACTCAAGCTTAATTTTCTTTGTGATTCTTCTGGCGTGTTTTCCAATTACCCCTTTCCCATTTGGTTTTCTCTTCTCTTTGATGCAGGAAGGGCCACTTTCAGAGGGCCAGTTCAGTCCAGTGTGAGATCAGCCTGGTGGAGAGAAACACCGGCGCCCACCACAGTGAGTACAGGAAGTATGGATGTTTAGAGGTGTGGATGGGATCTTCATTGCTCTGTGCACGGACTTGTGTTCACAAGCGTCCAAAAACTTTTCCATGGCTTTTGTGTTAATCATTATTTTGCACGTGAGGATAAATTTATTATCAGTGTGACAGAAGTAGTATTTTCCCCAAAATATTACGAAATTATAAGAATTTCCACACTGAAATGATTGTGTCCGCTGTAATACGCTACGGCAGATCTGAGGACCAGGGTTGCAGAAGCCTTCTGATGTGGGCTGTGCTGGGGAGGCTGTGGCGGGGAGGTACCTTAGGAGTGAACCAATCTTTGGGAGAACTGTGGATAAACCAGTTTCTGAGCTTTCTTGAGGTTTCTGGCTAAACAGCAAGTGCTAGATTTCCCTCCTCTTACTTGAAAACAACGAGAAATGGACAGACTGAAGCAGCGGCTGACCTCTGCTCTCAATATGTGCGCATGCGCGCACACACACTTTAAAATAAATCTTTAAAGAATCTGGCCTTGGTGGTAGGCTCCTATAGTCCTACTGTGGGAAAATCAGAAACAGGAAGAGCTCTGGGGTTTGCTGGCCATGTAATCTCACTGCATCAGTAAGACCCAGGCTGAGATGACACCCTGTGTCCAAAAAATACTGTTAATTCAGGGGGGAAATGACAGGAGTTAGCAACATCAACAACAATAAAGGTTAGGTGACATTCCTACCAATACTACAACAGGGTGATAGAAGATTTGGCATAATTTAAATAGACAAATTGAAGAACAAAAACTACCAAACAAGGGTCATTTAAGGAGCTGCAGATGCAGTTCGTGCGCCGAGTGCCTGCCTAGCCTGCAAAATGCTATGGTTCTGTCCTCAGCACTGCATAGAACCAGGGATGGTTGTGTGGACCTATAGTTACAGCCCTTAAAGAAATACAGACAGGAAGAACAAAAGTTCAAGGATATCTTCAGCTACAATGAGGCTAGTCTAGGCTACATGCACTCTGTTTTCAAAAAAAATCTGAAGAGTGATATGTAAAATTAAGTTTTTTAATGATAATTCAAACAGTTCCCTATCCATTGATTGAATTTGTATAGAAACATTTCTTCAATGACAGTCCACCCCCAAATAGCCGAACTTATGCCTAGCTTTCAATTCTACATAAGTTCATCTAGAACATTGAAGGGAGTACAGTATATGAGACCAGCTGGTTCTTTATCAATCTTGCAAGATAGAGCATTAATATTAAAAGTAAAGTATATTTCCATATATCGGAAATGTCTAGGTAAAGAAACTTTTAAAACAAACATTTGTAACACATCTCAAAATATGAATTTGTTCAACTGAAGTTGAGACCAACTCAGTAACAGAAAACAACTGAACTAAACTGTGGGCATTTTACCAAGAAGATACACAAAATACTAAGCACATGAAAAATACTTGACAGTGTAATCCATTAAAAGATTGAAAAGTCAAAATACCAGTTAACATACCACTGCTGCTGTGATTTATTTCTTTAAAGTCTGTAGGATATGGGGACGCACAGTTCGTTGTTGTTGTAAGTATGAAATGGTGCGGACAGTTTCTTAAGGAACAAGTTTGTATGGCCCAGCAATTCCCTTCCTCGTCAGCTACCCAATCAAATGAGAGCTTGGGTTTGCAATATGAACCCAAATATTCACAACAGCATTCCTCCCTGTAACCAGGGAGTGGCAGTCACCCAAATGTCCATTGCCGTGCCCATAAAATGGAGAGCGTAGCTGTCCAAGCACCGCATGTTTGCACACGCTGTCTGTCACATGGTCACAGTCAGCTGTGCTGTGTGGTAGAAGCTTCAGGATGCCCCGTGTGCATTTACCTTTATACCAAGATAGGTGAGTGGGTCCTAAGGTAATGACTGCAGACAGCCCTGGAAAGTATCCCCAGGCGATGGATCTGTTTAAAAACTGGGTCATGGTTGTGGCTGGGTGACTGTAATCTTTTCAAGCCAGTGAATAGGATATAAAAGTGAATGTAAAGTTGTAAGTTGTGGGTTATATCTTAGTAAACTTGGTAGAAGTCAAATTTTCAACTAACCATGCCAGGCTGGGTGTGAATCTACTAAAACACGAAGCTGCACCTCTAGTACCAAGTGGGCGAGCGAGACTCCACAGAAGACCCAAAATTCTAAGACTCCAGCAAACTCGGAGAAGTACTCTATGAAGCTGGACTTGGCAATGGTTTCTTGTAAACAACACTTAAACATAGTCAACTAAGGAAACCTAGATAAATTGGACTTCATCAAAACTAAAAGTTGGTGAAATTAAAGGACACTGTGTACAAAGAGGCAGTCCACAGGACAGGATAAGAGACTTTTGACCCCTGCAGCTGTGGGATTAGTGCAGAGAATTTATTACATGTGTGCATATGTGTGCATGAAAACAGACAGGAAACGTTTTGAGTGGTGTGGGACTTTCCTGGAAAAGTTGTAAAGAAACATCTATTTACCGCGAACAAGCACAGAGACCTGAGAAAGATTCTGCCAGTTTCAGCTTGGCGTGATGAATGAGTTCATTGGGGTCACTTATAGAGCTGTAAGGACTCACAGATATATCAAAGGCCCAAGCCTCATTCACTGAGCTCTGATTCCATATAGTTTAGTTGGCATCAGAATTGATACAAACTTGGGCTCAGAGTGCTACCTAGTGTTAAGTCAGGAGAGGTGACTGTGGCTCAGGCAACAAGCCACAGATAAAGCAGATCTAGGAAAGTTAGCGTCCATGGGAATGCTGCCTTTTCTTTTGCTGAGGTTTGCTGGTCTTAACAAACACTGACCAACTCTAGGAAGGCACGCAGAAAATTTAAATTACTGCAAGATGGAGTTACTCTGTCAGCGCTCAAGGGACTAATCCCACTACAGAGAGGAGGAAGGGGGACAGGGCAGGGTGCAAGACATTGAAGGTCGTAGTGGGGCAAATATGAGCAACATTAATGATACACATATATGAAAATGCCATAATGAAACCTATTGTTTTAATAGCAACTTAAAATTAATTACAAGAAATAATCCGGAATAAATAACTCATAACAAATAAAAGCAACCCAGTTCAAAAATTGGGAGAGGATTTCAATAAACATTTCTCCAAGAGCATGTGATGTGTTCAGCATCACTGACCACTGGGGAGATAAAAAGGGAATTGTGGACCCCTCCCACATTAGGGCAGGGGCTGTTTAATGACCATGTGTTGGCAATGATGTATAGAATCTGGAGCCCTTGTGTATTGCTGGTAAGAATATAAAATGTTATGGTCACTGTGCTAAATGGAATGACTGGTCTTAAAACCAGAATCACAGCCAGGTGGTGGTGGCGCACGCCTTTAATCCTAGCACTTGGGAGGCAGAGGCAGGCAGATCTCTGTGAGTTTGAGGCCAGCCTGGTCTACAAGAGCTAATTCCAGGATAGGCTCCAAAGCTACAGAGAAACCCTGTCTCAAAAACCACCACTACAGAATTACCCTTTTTTAAAAAAGATTTATTTACTTATTTAATGTACACTGGTGCCTGTGTATATATGTGTGAGGATGTCAGATCCCCTAGAACTGAAAATACAGATAATTGTGAGTTGCCATGTGGGTGCTGGGAATTGAACCCAGGTCCTCTGAAAGAGCAGTCAGTGCTCTTAACCTCTGGGCCATCTCTCCAGCTGCCAGAATCACTGTTTTATCCAACAGTTGACTACTGGAGGTTACACATATAAGCAAATATCTTTACACCTGCACTCATAGGAGCTGAATTCTTAATAGTCAAAAGGTGGAAAGCCACTCATCTGTCCAGTGATGTATGAATTGATAAGTAGATACACATAAATGGAGCATTACTTAGCCTTAAAAGGGAATAATTCTAATGGCTGGACTCTGAGGACATTACACTTAGTGAAAAAGCCAGATGCCAAAGTAAGCACCGTGTAACTCCACTAAATGAGATGCCAGAGCAGTCAGACCCACAGAGGCAGAAATCGTAACTGTGGTTACCAGGGACTGTGGAGAGAGTTATTGTTTAATGGGTAAGGTTCAATTTGGGATAATGAAACATTCCTGGACATGATGACTATTCCTGTTATATGATTTTACCTAATGTCACTGAACTTGACAGTAGCTGAGACGGTAAATTCTGTTACGTATTTCACAATGAAGGACACGCCATCGTGAATGATGTTACCAGACAATGCCCTGAGCTCCCATGTGCTTAACACCATCAGTTCCAAGACAGCAAGAAGATGTGTCCCTTACAGACTGTGCACAGATAAAACACGCTTATCCCTTTCCTATGTGCAAAGACACATTTGCAAAAATAAGAGGAGGAGGAGGAGGAGAGATGGTCCTGGTTAAGAGCACATACTGATCTTACTGTTCAGCCACCAGCACCTATGCTTCAGCTCCCAGAGGGTCCTAGCCCTCTGACCCTATGAATCCAGAAACCATCCCTTACCACATACACATAATAAAAGAACAGGAAGCAATCTCACAGCCTTTCTATATATAAAATACACCCTACACTGGGGAAAAGTTTAAATCCAAATTGCTTTTTTCTTGACATATTAGTTTGTTTTTGCTTCCTCTCTCTGAGATTAAGTTGCCCTCCGGAGCTCAGGATACTCTGGGACTCACTGTGGAGCTCTGACTTGCCTCAAACTTGAAACAATCCCATTGCCTCCACCTCCCCAAGCGCTGGTGTTACAGGTGTGAGCCTCCGTGCCCGGATACAATGGGTATTTTTTAAAAGATTTATTTTTATTTTATGTGCATTGATGTTTTGCCTGTATGTATATCTGTGTGAGGATATCAGATCCTCAGGAACTGGAGTTACAGACAGGTGTGAGCTGCAATGTGGGCACAGGGAATTGAACCTGGGTCCTCTGGAAGAGCAGCCAGTGCTCTTAACTGCTGAACCATCTTTCTAGCCCAAAATGAGTCTTTTTAATGGAGGAAAAAAGACAGCTAGACCACAACACCACCCAAAAACCAAGATAGGATGAGTTCTGGGCTTAGTTTACAAAATTAGCTTATCTGACTAGGCATTTCTCTGGCCAAGCAATGTTAGTGTCTCAGACCATAGCACCGCAAAGGAGATGAGGTCTTCAGCTGAGATAAAAGCTGCCCTCTGAGATGAGTGCATTACAGACACCAGGACGAACTCAGCAGCCTCAGCTCCGACCTGTGCTGTGAAAATTACAAAGGTCAGAGGTCATAGTCAACCCTGGTGCTGAAAACTACCACTCCCAAAGCCTCAATTCAGTCCATCAGGGACCAGAACAGGGCATTCTGGGATGAGGCTTCTTGGCAACCCTCCTTACTAGTTCAGTGAGAAAAACCACAGCTTCAAGTCCCAGCATGTGTTACATGGTTCGTGTCCCTACAGCCTGTGACTTAAATCACAAGCCCCCGTGCCTATGTGTGCTTGTCACTGTGCTTGTTTCTGAGAGTCCGATTCAGAGGTACGTTCTATACAAAGGAAAATGGAGGCTCAGAGGTCAAGCCCAGATGTGTCTGGCTTCCAAACCCATGCTTTTCTGTCTTTGCTTTGTAAGAGTGGAGGTGTGCAGAGATCACAGGACATTATTACAGGGTCATTTCTTCTCCTTGCATGGCTGGGTGTGTTGCCGGCCTCCAAGCCCATGTTCCCCTATTGCATTTGGCCTTCAGCAGGGTCCTTGGGGACACTGACCAGAGCAGCTTTGTCTCCAGGATTCTCCCATCCTTGTGCTTGCTATTTCTACCATGTTTGGGATCTGCTGCTGTCTTTGCTATCAGCGACTTGCCCTGGGCTGGACCCTCACCCAGCCCTTTGTAATTGTGAATATTTTAGAACAGTCATTAAGCTTGTTAGAACTTCAGGCAGCAGGAAGACAGAGGTGTGCACTTGAAAGACTAGCATGGGGATGCTGACCCACTGTGCACAGGTGCTGTAGGGCAGCTGCTGCAGATGCAGATGTCTGAGGTAAGTTCACCTCAAGCAGAAGCTGCAGGTTTATACATGCAGATAAGAGGGTAGGTGGGCATGTATATGCAGAAAACCGGGTGCACAAGAACAATCTTACTTTCCACAGGTCACAGAGGTCACTGAAGGCACGCCCAGTGAAGGGCACAGAGATCACTGAAGGCATGCCCAGTGAAGGGCACTATTGTGGTCACCTTACACAGGAAGAAAGTAAACTGCACGGTGAGAGAAGGTAACACCTTAATTCTCCTTTCCTTAGCTGTAAGGCTTGGTAAGTAGTCCTATCCAAGGCAGCCTGTTTAGGGGAGAGGAAGCAACACGGTACAAGGTGTGGAGATCCAGCAATCTCTCCAGCACTGATAGGACCATCAAAATAAGCCAAAATCCTGAGCAATGTCTGCAGAGAGGAAAGAGATGAAAATGTGTTTAGTGAAAGGAGTACTGAGTTATAAAACACCTCACCAGCTGGGCAGTGGTGGCCCATGCCCTTAATCCCAGCACTCGGGAAGCAGAGGCAGGCGGATTTCTGTGAGTTCGAGGCCAGCCTGGTTTACAGTGAGATTCAGGACATCCAAGACTGCTACACAGAGGAACCCTGTTTCAAAAAAACCAAAACCAAACCAAAACAAAAAACCTCATTTCACTGTTGGCTACTGAATGAAGAAAGAACGAAAGAACGAAGGGAAGGAAGGAAGGGAAAGGAAGGAAGGGAAGGAAGGGGAAGGGAAGGAGGGAAGGAAGGGAAGGGAGGGAGGGAAGGAAGGGAAGGAAGGGAGGGAAGGGAAGGGAAGGGAAGGGAAGGGAAGGGAAGGGAGGGAAGGGAAGGAAAGAAGGAAGGAAGGAAGGAAGGAAGGAAGGAAGAAAGGAAGAAAGGAAGAAAGGAAGAAAGGAAGAAAGGAAAAAGGAAGGGCATGACTGCTCCTAGGTACGGTAGAGGAGAAAGTTTACTGTGGCTAAAAGGGAGAGCAGAGTATAGGAAGAGGGCAGGGACAGCCGGGAGAATCCGGAGAGAACATGACTCCCCACAGCTGGGCAGGAGGAGACCAGGAGGCCAGCAGCGTAAAGCGTAGACTAAGAGACAAGAAAGCTGGATAACATAAATGAATGGATCATATAGCAAAGGGCAGCCAGCGTTTGGTAGGGGTTGAGGTATGCCAGCCCTACTCTGTAACAGGTAGGGACTGAGGGATGCTGGCATCCAGGGCTGCTTTGATAGGATTACTAGGCACCTCGGTTAGCTCTTTGTCTCAGGTTTGAGACCTATCAGCTACCTGGATGCAAGCTAGAGTCTGAGAGAAGGGAACCTCAATGGAGAAAATGCCTAAGATCAGGTTATAGGCAAGTACATACAGATGGAGAGCCATCCCAGAAGGTTAGGACTGACCTTTTGTCTTAGGGTTATCATAGCTCTGATCAAACACGATACCAAAAGCAGCTTGGGGAGGAAAGGGTTTATTTGACTTTCTTATCCTGGACCACAGTCCACTGAGGGAAGTCAAAGCAGGAATTCAAACCTGGAGGCAGGAGCTGATGCAGAGGCCATGGGTGGGGGAGGGCACTGCTTATTGACCTGTTCCTCTTGGCTTGTTCACCGTCTTCCTTATAGAACCTAAGACTTCCAGCCCTGACCTAGGATCACCAGCTGGGGGTGTTCCACCCACAGTAGGTTAGGCATGCTCCCATCAACCACTAATTAAGAAAATGCCCTGCAGGGCTTCAATAGCCAAATCTCAGGGAGGCATTTTCTCAATTGAGGTTCCCTGCCTCTCAGAAGACTCTAACTGTGTCAAGTTGACATAAAATTATTCAGAACATTTACCAAGTTCCAGACCTATTTTCATCACCTGACCTGTAATTTTATTTATATGTGTACAGTGTTTTGTCTATGTGTGCGCCTGCAGGCCAGAAGAGGGCACCAGATCTCATTGCAGATGGCTGTGAGCCATCATGTGATTGCTGGGAATAGAACTCATGACCTTTAGAACAGGCAGTGTTCTTAACCACTGAGCCATCTCTCCAGCCCCCTGGCCTGTAATTTTTTAGTGCATATTTTGCAGAAAGCAAATTTCATTTCTTTGGAGGTGGCAACATTAATTGGTCAGGCTAGAATGATTTCTCCAGTTTCTTTTTTCCTGTTGAAGTTACACTGAAACATAGGAGACAAGAGGCCACAGAAACTTCTAGGACCTTCTTGCCGAAGTCCAGGGCTAGTGACTGTTAAAACACCGCCAAGATACAGCACACTCCTGACCCCTGCCTGCAGGATCTTCCCATACAGCCCCCTTCCGGCAGAGGCCCTGAGGCTTGTGTGACTCCCCTCACCCATCGTCATTTAACAAACCAGGAGTGTCAGGGGTTGAGGTAGTAGAAAGTGACCCTCACATGTTCAACTAAGACTGCTTTAGAAGACTTGATTGAGAAGCAGCCCCCACCTCAGTTTAATCCAATGGTGGTCCACTGGCAGCTCTGCCACATTAGTGAAGCTGGTACTCATCCCGTAGAAACTGAGTATTTATCTTTCCAAAGCTCAAACTATGTGGTAAGATATCGTCATTGGGTGCTGGCCATCAGCAGGAAACTACCTCACGATTCCATTCATCCACGATCAGGACAGCCGTGGGTGCCACGGGGTTTTGTTAGGCGAAGTGTGTATTAAATGATTCATGAATATTCTCGGCTTCTAGAAGGTTGGGCAGGCTATGACTCCGTAGTAAGTGGAGGCGTGCTCAAGAAATCTGAGCAGGCGGTGTAGTTCCCACCTGCGTCCTCCCACTCAGCTCCTTAGTAAACGGTTTTTGACAAACGCCTGTTGTGTGTCTACCATCACAGGTCACCAACGCCTGTTGTGTGTCCACCATCACAGGTCACCGAGTCGCCTTCTCTAAACAGCTTTCCTGTTCCCAGATTCAACTCTCCCTCTCCCCGTGGACCTGTGACAACCACTGATGTCTTCACTTCATACTTTCCGGACTCTAGCGCTGCGATGATACGGTAAGGAGTCTCAGACTGGCCTCTTCCCACCGTCCGCCATCTAAGAGTCTTTCCCTTTTGGAGTTCACAGCTGTATTTTCCATTTTGATGGCTGGAGTTTGTTTCTCTTATTTGATGGCTTTTTACATTTTTTTCTGAGAATTTTATGTATTTTGTGTATGTATGTGCATATGTGTGTGTATATATATGTGTGTGTGTATACACACACACACACACTTATGAATACAACCTGCTGAGGTCATTTTGTGTTGCTCAGGTATGCTTAGGGCTGACCTCTTGGGAGTGGCTAGTCTATCAGAGGCCTTATCCCTGGAAAAGACTGATTCTTCCTCAGCAACCAATAATTGCCTGTATCTTGTCTGGGAGTGAAGTTTTTTTGAGTTCCCCCATCATGTCGACTGGTGGTGTCAGTTTTAAGGTCTTTCTTAGGCAGTCATTGTTGAGGTTTCATGGGTGCAGCTTCCCTGCCACATGTAGAAGACAGTCTGGCAGCAGATGTCCCGTTCAGGACCCCTGGTTCTTTCCTCCTCATCTTCCTCCGTGTTCCCCGTGCCTTAGGTAAATGGTTGTTGATATATCATTTGGGGCTGTCACCAGTCGGTGGCGTTTGGTATACCAGTCTGTGTATGTTTTTTTTTTGCTCTTTAAGTATGATCTATTTTCATGTCATGCACAAAATTTTAATTTTTGATTAATTCCATTACGTCTAATTTTTGATCCCTGAAAATCTGCTAACAACTCCACAAAATCTCTGTAAAATTCATTATCCTGACATTTTCCACCGTTTTCTTCTAAGAGTTATAGTTTTCTTTAACCTACTATTGTTTTTAAAACCTATTTTGGAAAAAAAAAAAAACCTATTTTGAGTTAATTTTAATATATGACATTATTTAAGTTCCTAACTCTAGCACTGTTTTCTGGAAAACTGTATCTTCCTTATTGAAAAATCTTGGCCCCTTCCCTAAGCATTTGTCCCATTAGTTTATCTTGAAGCCAGAATCACTGTTCTGGAATCAGATGACTCACCCTACTTTAATATTCAAGATTTGGCCACTCCTCGTCCCCTGAGATTGTACTTGAACCTTAAGGTGTATTTTCTGTCTGGACAAACCAAACCAGTACTGCAAGGTCATGTTTTGCTAGGGATTACACTGACCCTGTAGATGGGCTGGGATCTACAGGGATTCCCAAGGCAATCAACATGGATGTGCTCCATCATTTCTGTGGCAGTTCCCACCTCTGGTTAACCTCCCAGTATTTTACTGTTTTTGATGCTGCTGTAGAAAGAACTCCTCTAATGTTTGTTCACTGCTGAAGTACAGAAATGATGCTGGCTTCCTGTGTTGACCTTGTGCCCTGCTTCTATGAGTACTTTACTGATTCTGAAAGTCTCCTGTGAAATCTTTAGTTTTCTGTGTGTAAGACCATATGACTTGTGAACAGGTAATTTTATTTTTGTCCCATTTGACACCAGCCGCTCCAGCCAGTCCATGTTGACTAGCAATGGTGCAGGCAAGCATCCTTCCACCAGACAGGAAGTTCACCGTATGTTCTCATGGTGGCCTTTTTGTTGACAGTTTCCCCTGTACTTCTAGTTGGTTTTATTTTTAATCACAAAAGAATGATTTTTACCAAATGGCTTTCCTAGTTTTTCTTAAAGACAGCAGTGCTAATTGGGCAGTGGTCTGTGTCTGTCACATAAATCCTTCACGCTGGGTTCACCTGTTTATACTCTTCCAGTTCCAGTGGCCTCTGAAAGTCTCTGGTGAGGTCATTTTTTTTTTTTTTAAGGAGATGTGGGGGCTTTTCCTAAGTTCCTCTTTGTAGACACTGATTCTGTCCCTTCTCATCTTCTGTAGTTGCTGTGAGCACACTGAATGAGGTCTCTAAGTTTCACGTTGGACTTTTCACTAGAGAAAGTACCAACTTATCTTCCTTTTCAATTATGTGTTCAAATTCTCAAATGCATGCCACAGCATATGTGTGGAGGTCAAAGGACAGCTCTCTTCTTCCATCACGTGTGTCGTGGACATCAAACTCAGGTTGTCAGTCTTGGTGGCAATACCGCCGAGCAACTTGGCTGGCATTTGATTCTTTGAATGGACCTCATTTCTCTGTTCCTCTGAGGATCTGTTACTTTTCATTTTGGGTATGCCATTATTTTAATAATATCATCCCCCACCCCGTCCCACCTCTGCCCCCTCTCTATCTCTAGGTTTGCTGGTTTGTCTTTTAACAAAAGGTTATCACCCACTTGTTTACTCTCCAAACCTTCTACAGGTTTGTCATTTGACAACCCCCCCAACACACACACTTTGTATTCAACTATTTATACAGCATTCTCCCTTTATGCCAGTTTCCCCAAAACTGGCTGGGAAATCCTTTGACAGGCAGTTGGTCCCTGACTTAGGGGGCAGGCACAGTAGAAAGGTCAGGGTGTTAGAACAGTGGCTTCTGGGTGTTTGTGTGGTGGCTTTAGAATGTCCTAACGTTTCTCCTCAAATGGTCAATTCTGCATCTCCACCCATTTCTCTTGATTCTGGCTAGCATTTATAGATCCTTGCAGTTTTTACAAGCAGTGCCCACCAACTCCCAAGTGAGACAAAAATCAAAAGAATCCAACCAACCTAGCACCTCTAATACTCTCTAGAGGGCTACAGCTGTACACAACTCTACAGATGGGGGAGGGTCTCTTCCACTTCATCCAGTTCATGAATGAGAACTGGGCTTCTATGGTTTTAAGAATCTTTGTCACAAGGGAGAAAGGGGCTGAAAACATCACAGAACCTAGCAACCACTTTGAAGATGGATTGTCTTGGGTGCTTCACTGCGGTCTGTAGCTCTGGTTTCGGGAGACTGTGGACGCAGTGTGTTTACTGAGTAAACACGGTGACCGAACCTTGGACAGTAAGAAAAATGTTAAAACAGTGGTCTCAAATTCTCAGCCAAATCATTTTCTATGAAAACTAACGCCATCAGGCTGTTTTTGTCTGCTACTGATCTGAACAAAAAATAGGACAAAAATTTGCCCAAATGCAACACTCTTACCTCCAAAACACCTGCCCTATAACTTTCTTGATTTCTGCCAGGAATTTTTTACTTTATACTGGCACATGTTTTAGAAACTTGTGCCACATCTGGAGATAAGAAAGAAGTGAACTATCCATAACAAAACCACATCTGGCGCACGTCACTGCTCGCCCCTGAAAGGAGCCGATATTAACTTTGGTTACTGTACACAATAACAATGTTGCTCTGCCTGTTAAACATAGGCTCTTACTACTAGGTTTCATTCACATTTCCAACCCAACATCAACCCAATTCATACCCAGTTTACAACTGAAAATAAGGGAAATTACCTTTATTTTCATGGGTTGGGAGTCTTCTGCTTCCATCGAAACTGAAATTACAGTGAGGTTTATTTAAGCCAGACTTTGTGGTTATAAAATGAAAAAAGCACTTTTTTTTTTCTATTGAAAAATTTCCAGCGTCTAGAAAGCACTCCGATTTCTAAGTTTATTTTTACTGAAATTCTTTGCATGTTCATTTTGTTAGGTTTGCAGCACAAACCACTTGTCTTTTGCTACTGGCCTCGCAGATCAATTTTAAACAAAACTGAGAAAACTAAGGTAAGAAGACTCCTACTGGACACACCCCTCATACCTTCACAGGAGCATTCTGCCTGCTGAACCGTTTCTGCACTCCATGCTAAGGTTCCATTCCCTTTCCCTTGGACCAAAGGGATGGGAATGTATTCCTGGAGGCAGCCCTTCTGAACAAACTAGAGCTCCCGCTGCATTTTCACTTGGCGGTGTAGAGAAATCGGTGATTTCAAAGCCTTGCTGCTGGCGATCTCCTGAGCCTCCACTGAGAGGCAGCTCGGTATGTGGACACACCTTCACTGCCGTGCTCATTCGGTGTTGGTTAAATCTGATTACTTTTGCAGCTTTATATATATCTGCAGTTCAGTTGCCACTTCTAGGCATGTTTGTTTTTTGACAAACCGCAATTATTTCTTTTAATACTTGTATTTGATTTTCCCTACCAATTATCTAGTGTCCTTTTAGTAGAAACCACTGACCAGTACAGAAATGTCACCTTGTAAGCATATCCTCCAATGACGACCTGGTGCAATCCATGTTAACGTCCACCCTGTACAAGTCTAGGAACAGGCAGCACAAGTCCATTACGGGAATACAGGAGAAGACACCCAGGATCCCTGTGGTCCTCGCCACAATGGAGTACTGACTTCTCTGCGGTGTCCAAGGTGACTCATGAGCTACCCATATTCCAAGCAGTAAGGAGAAAGGGACAATCCAAGATCATGTGCTATTAAGGACACAGAACACAGTAAGCCCTATTGAGAAATACAGGCTGTGAGTAAGTGAAAATCCAAGTTCCCATCACGTGCTCTGTAAATGCCAATGCTGAGGGGAAACTAGTGTTTCCTCACTTCTCTCTCCGCTCCAGGCTCTCAGCGGAGTAGCCGACAACCTTCATGTCTCATCAAAAGCAGTGAATATACTAGTTGGTGGGTTTTCAAATGTATTTTATTGGTATAAAACCAAAATATGGTGATATAATTTTCAGGACTATGTGAAAAAGATTGTTCCCTTACAGTCTCTTTACCGTGAAGAGGAAAATGCTAACTTACCTACGAAAACAAAGGTAGTTCTTCATCAGAAAAGTAAAAAGTCAGTAAATTTGTTACAGCTCCTGAGAAAACTGAAAAGCAGGAAAAAAAGACTCCACCATCTCTTTAATTTTCGCCTTTAAGGGAAAATAAAGTCATGATTTTGCTACATGTTCATCAGTAACTACAGGTGTTCAACCTCCATCCTCCTGGTGGCCTCCTCCCACTGTCTGATCTGTGAACAAAGCTGTCCTTCATCTCTGCACTAAAACTCACCCAACATGATCTCAGAGCACCAAAGCTACAAAGCACAAGGAGCTAGTTTGGTTTTAAAATACTTATATCCCAAGTTTCCATTTTTCTGAAAAAGGCAACCCCCCAAAGTTACATCCTGTGAGAGCCAGTCTATTTAGAGGCCCCCAGGTGAATGAGCGCCATGATAGTCGTGTAGCTATGGAACAGGTCCTCTTCCTTTACCTCATTACACCTCCTCAGTATGAAGTTCCCGGTGACTATCCGGTCACATCCAATCTCCCCATTTCCGAAGAAACCGAATAAGGGGACACTGGGAAAAAACTTCCTAAAGGCGTCAGCTTCCACGTTCCCCTTGGCTCTGTAGTACTGAAAGCCCCGGCCCACGCACGCGAACATGAAGCCGAAGGTGTTCTCTTCGGGGATGTTGGCGGCTTTGAGACGCTGCATGGCTGCCTCAGCCGTCTTGTCATCAGTCACATCCTCACTGAGGAGAACCGTGGCGCTCTGGATTCGCTGTCCACTAAACGACAGTCCGACCACACCTGTGGCATCAATATCCAGAGGCTTCCTGGAAACAGAAAAATCATTAACTAAGAAGGAAGCTCTGCTGCCTTTGCAGCTCACGCTCTACTCCGAGACTTCTCGTCCCAGACAGATCTGCACCGGGTCTGTGGTGGAGGTGCTGGCAAGCACTCTGACACGAACTGACAGTCCTATCCCATGGAGTATGACTGACATTATGGCATCGCACCCCATCATCCACTGTTAAATTATGAAAAAGATGCACTCAGGGAGGCAGGTGGATCTCTGAGTTCGAGCTCAGCCTGGTCTATAAATTATGAAAAAGATGCACTCAGGGAGGCAGGTGGATCTCTGAGTTCGAGCTCAGCCTGGTCTATAAAGTGAGTTACAGGATGACCACGGCTGTTTCTCAAGAAAGCAAACAAAAATATATATAATCATGGTGGATGATTTTCAACTCTGCAGGTTTTAGCTTTGTGTTAACTAGCCTTTAAAGAACTATGATTTCAATGCTTCCTGTCTTATTGTTTTGAGCCTGAGTTTGAATTTTAAAATTTCACAACTGGGGGGAGGGATGGAGAGGTGGCTCAGAAGTTAAGAGTGTGTTCTGCTTATACAGAGATCCCAGTCTGATTCTCAGCACCCCACAACAGGGATTCATAACCTAATACCTCTGGTCCTTGAGGGCACCTTCACTCATGTAACAGACACACACATATCAACTACATTTATTTGAAACAAAACTACATTTATTTGAAACAAATCTTTCATGCCCTTTTCCTATGACACTGATTTTGTGTGTAAGTCTGGTGAGCATGCATACGGCATGGCATATGGATGGAGAGCAAGGGAGTCCTTTCTCTTTCCACCGTGTGGGTCCCAGGGATTGAACTTACATTCTCAGCCCTGGTGGCGAGTGCCTCATCAGCCCTGTAAAGACTTATTTCAATCAAACATTTTATGCTTACAAAAGAAAATGCCCTGTTAGTAAAGCTATAAAGCACACAGTGAACACCCGCTGGGAGGAAACAAACACCTTAAGTACCCGTTACATTTATCAACAACTGAATCTACAGAATGCATGAGATCCTCTGGGTTAGCAAGAAACTAAGATACGGAGGCATCAAGCATCAGTGGTGCATATACACACACACAAAATAAATAAAATCTAGTATATAGGTCCCAAAACTGAAGGCCAAGGAACACCAGTAAGATACCACAGGCTGTTGTTCCCTGGAGAAGAGCGGGGAGATGCCACCCCACCCTGAGTGTTAGAGCCTGACGAGTTTTGTCAGGAACACTTGACCCATGTACCTCCTTCTCAAGGAAACACTTTAAATGGCTACAGTCTGATCAAGAGTGAATTTGCGACCCACAGAGAGCATCTTTGAGAGGTAGAAGTTTGTTTCAAAGTATTCAGAGATGAGATTGCAAAGTCCCGCTGCAAGTTTTCAACCCCAGGACTTGACTTGCTTGCTGCTGACCTTCAGCTTAGTGTATGCACAGACCCCGGCGGCAGTCCATTGTCAGCTCACTCAAAACTCCACACAAGGGCATAAACAAGCTGCTTCAACCTCACCTTAGTTCTTTTCCTTTAAAAACCTAGTCTTCCTTACTTATTTCTATGAAACCTCTATCTCCCAGTTAGCAACTCAACTCTATACTGAAATAAGCCTTATGCATTTATTTTAGCCTCATTAGTGACTTCTGTTTGCAGGGGGAACAGCACAAGGAGGACCACAGCTGTAAAATTTATCAACAGGCGGTGCTGAAGGAGCCTAACGCTGATGTTCTTAAAGGACAATAAATACAAGTTTAGTTTTTTGACTGCAAGCAGAATTGTGTTCAGTGAACCTCTTGGCAACAGCAAAATTGAATGAATTGGTACATTAGCAATTCCTTATTTTTTTGAGACAGGCTGTCACTTTGTAGCCTTGTCTGGCCTGGAAGTCATCAGTGTAGACCAAGCTGGTACTGAATTCAAGAAATTCTCCTGCCTCATAGTACTGGCATACAACACCACACTGATTCCTTGAATTTGTTATAAGAACCTGAAGTTGTTTCCATTCACCCTGGGAGAAAAGCAAAGGGCACAGGCTTACTTCTCAGAAGTCAGTGAAGACAAGTTGTCCACCTGGACTCCAGCCAGGATGATGTTCATGTTGCTGAAAGTGCTGACCACTCGCTGCAGGTAATTATTGGCTCCCACCTTACAGCAGTTATAGCCAAAGACAAGGACCACGCGAAGCTCAGGGTTATCCAGAAGACCTGCAGAGAAGTGAGAGATAAGACAGCCTTAAACCACAACGAGCTGTTAGTTATTCCTGCTGACTGACTGGCACCAGAGTGTGCTGTGCAGCACTGAAGTTCCTGGCTTTCCATCAATAAAAACCTAAACGGCTATTTGAATATAATCCAGTCAATGCCTCACACAAGCAAGGACACAGTTACAGACAGAACAGAAGCCTAGTGGACCATGTTGGGTTGTTCCACATTCCAAGTCCACACAGGCCAGTGACCTAGAGTTTATAACGTGGTCTAAAAGCAGCTCTACCACTAGCAGGCAGCAAGGCTCAAGGGACCAGTAGTGTCTCATTCCCAGAGTGCCACGCTTCCACCTGAGTCTCCGGCAGCCTGTTTTCACAGCAGCCATTTGGAACCAAACAGTATTACAACAACAGGTGGCTTCCGGGACAGGAAGAAAAATGCAGCCCCTAACTACACAGATGTTTCCATTTAACTCAGCCACATGCCTTCCATGGTGATAAAAGGAAGGGTCCCTCAGCAAGACTGGAGCAGGCTAGAAGGAAAGGGAAAGGAGCCCCGCTGACCACAATGCTCAGGCTTGAACAATTAAGAATCAAGACTCCCAGCACATTAGCATCTAACTCCATGCTGGCGACCTAGAGTTCTGTCTTATCAAATGCCTGTCCTGCATCCCAGCTTAACTTCTCAGCAATCCTTTAGTGACAGTTTTTGTAAAGACAATGACATGTGACCTTTTTTCTGAGCCCACATCCACTCTCCCTGAATATCTCAACCCCCATGCTGAAATTTATATTAAAAACCTTCTTTAATAAACTAACTATGCTTTACACTAGCTCATCCTGGAATTCTTTTTTGTGCTGAAATCTAGAAACTTTACCTTTAGGGTCACAGCATGGAGCTGCTGACAAGACAATTACGGACAAATAGAACTTTAGACTCTGCCCCTGGGTCAGTTCTAACTCTCCACATAGTAAACCTCAGGTTTGCACAGTTCTGAAGGGTCCTCCCTCGTACAGATGAGTCGGGCACATCGAGACCCTTTTCTTTTGTGGAACACATTTTTCTGAGTAGGAAAGAAGTCTGTGGAACAACATTCAAGTCTAGTTTACAAACGGGTGCCACTTCCAGGAAGTGATCACTTGGGCCAATGGCATGGCTATTCAAGAGAAGTCAGTGTCAAGAGACACTGACACCAACCTCTGGTCTCCACACAAATGCACTGCAACATGCGTGCACATGGAAAAAGGGAAAGTAGTCTCAACCATCCTGGAAGCCATCCTGAAGCTCAAGCCTGTTTTCTAAATAGTCCCACTATGGGGACAGAGTGCCTGCACCTGTCCAGCCTTCTACGGAGCCCACATGCAGGGCTTCGAGCATTAGCTGCCCACACCTTACTGCTCGGCTCCGTCCCTTCCACAGCCACTTACTCTCCTGTTTACAGACGGTGTCAAAGCCCTTCTCAGTACGGGTCTTCCATCCTTTGAGCCACAAACCTAAACTTTCCCATTTTTCTATTGCTGGTCTTTAAGTTGGGACAAGCTTAACTTTTCCAAACCTATTTCCTTTTCTGTAAAGTGAAACTAACCTGTAAAAGTTCAAGGACTCAACAGCTGATTTGCATATTAGCAACAAGGAAACCTGACAAGCGGGGAATTGATTATTACGTGACATGTCTGCGTGCTAATACATCACGGAGGTGTATGTCTTCAGGCGAGCTCATCTACACACAGACGTGGAGTTGGCACTAAGTCAGTCTGATGAGCACAGTGGTAGTTTTAGCCCAATCATCTAGTTTGCAGAGGGAGATGATGAAAAGCCTTCACACTGCTTTGCTGGAGTAGCCAGCTGCCTATGTATCAAGTAAGTTTCCCCATCAAAGTCTGACACCAGACCTACTTCAATTCGTCCACACTTGTTTTCTCAAACTTGGGAGCAATCCTGACTGTTTATTTCCTCACACTTCAAGTCCATGCCTTCTCTTCCAGCGCCAACCTTTTTCTTCTAAAAACTTGTATAATAAATGGTTACTAGGGATATTTTTAAATGTTAAGTTTTTCTGTTTTAAATAACAAAAATAAGGCAAATTTATTGCTAAAAGTCTACTGAAGATCAAGATTCAAAATTCAGCTACAATTAAATGCACGCATGCATCCACGGATCTTACAACTGTCTATAATTCTAGTTCCAGGGAATCTATGTTTTCGTTTGTTCTCCATGGGCAGCAGACACACACACAGTACATATACTTACATACATGCAAGTAAAATACTCATGCGCAAGCTTAGCAACAGAATACTTATATAAAAGGTGTTCGTCTCTGGTCATCTAGGACTTCATGGCAATAAAACAATTTGAAATGAATTGGACCAATCACCAGCCTTGTCAACAGTGGCCTAGAAGTCACTAGCTAGCCAGAATTAAAACAGATGAAGCTAATCAACAAATGGGCAATTAATAATAAATAACAATGCTGGGTATGTGCCTTGTACCTGTGAAACATCAGCACACAGGAGGCAAAGGCAAGAAGATTCTGAAATCAAGGCCAGCCAGAAATATGTAGTGAGACCCTGTCTCAAAAAACCAAATAAGTAAATAAAATAGTAAATAACAACTTACCCACTTCAGCAAGCTGATGTCGTTCGAGTGTTAAATTCTTGGGGTCCTTAATAAAATGAAAGGGCCGAATTTTTATCCCTTCAATTTGAGGAAATAATAAAGCAAAACCAGATTCTCCAATTTCTATTTCCTGAGGTCGGTTGTTACCTGATCCCATTGGCGTCACTAGAGAGAAAACAACAGCGTCATGAGGACAGCCAACAGAAACTGGAGTTAGTAAGAACCTTCATCAACCCACTGCACCCTCCTAACTGCAGGCTAGGCTGTTATCAAACAGATGCTCTTAGAGCAAACAAGGTTCTTTGGCAATTTTAGGGTTGTGATCCCTGCACCACACTTTCAAATATGTTCAGAAAGAAAAGCTTTCAAAAGGCTGAGCGCACGCCTTTAATCCCAGCACTCAGGAGGCAGAGGCAGGCGGATCTCTGTGAGTTCGAGGCTAGCTTGGTCTACAAGAGCTAGTTCCAGGACAGGCTCCAAAGCTACAGAGAATCCCTGTCTCGAAAAAACAAAAGAAATGCTTTTATAAACAGAGAAAAAGCAGGTATACAAATTGTCTGCAGTCACTGAGTCAAGATGAAGGGAACTGCTGCTCTTCCAGAAGACCAAGGTTCAGTTCCTGTCACACAGAGCTGGCCACAACTGTCTAACTCTCGTTCCAGGGGATCTGATGCCCCCTTCTGGTCTCTATGAGCACCACATGTGCACATGGTAGACACATACACGAAGGCACAATGCCACACACAAATCTTTTTAAGTGTTAAGTTTCTAGAAATGCAAACCACAGTGTGGGGGGAGGGGCTGAGGGATGATGGTAGTAGGGGTGGGGGTGTTCGAAGAGAAGAACCCAAAAGACACATCCCACACGATCCACAGACTGTCTATTTAAAACATGAAAAGAAAGAAGCAAGTTCATGGTAGGCCTGAGCTAGTGCCTCAGGTTGAGTTGACAGGGTTTCAGGCCGACTGTCCCAGAGCCTGGAGTCCTGCGGCCAAGCAGCAGCTGCAGTCCTTTTCTGCTCCTTCAGTAAGGACGCAGCAGGACCTGCTTCCTCAAGATTCTGCCGCATGACTCCCCACCAAGATGCACCTTCCAACTGCAAACTAAGCAAGTTCCCCACCCCACTGCATTTGGCCAGTATTTTGTTCCAACAGCAACAACAAACAACCCCTACAGAGTGCAGGAGGAAACCTAAACAGTGTTTAAATGTGAGCAGATGCAGGACAGTCCACATTAAAACCACAGCAGAGTGAGCCAGCCCTGTCACAAGTCACAGACAAGTACCCAGTGAGCATACATCTAGTCCTTAGCGTCCAAGAGTATCTTCACATCTACCAGCCTGACTAACGGTCATAGGAACTGCACCCTCCACCATTGCTCCTGAGCACAGAATGGGAGAACCTTGGAAAACTTGCCTCTTTCTTTTTAGGTCAGTGCTAAAACCAAGCAAGTCCAACTCCTTAAGTTTCAGAGAAACTTAAAACTTACACAAAAAAACCCAGCCTCATTCACAATACCTAGAATCAGAAAACCACAGTCTATCAAAACAAGAATGGGAAAATAAATCTTGTCCCATTTATATCATAGAAAGACTCGAACACTAAAGTGAAGGGCGGGGGGGGGGGGGGGCTCAGCTGATAAAATGTCTGCTGTACGGGCATGAAGACCAGAGTTTTCCAAACCTGACCCCAGACACGCACTAAGGTCAGGCAAAGTGGGAAGTAGAGAAAAGTAAACCCCTGGAGTTCACTGACCAGCCAGTCTAGCTAGAACAGTGAGCCTCAAGTTCAGTGAGAGACCCTGTCTCAACAGAAGATGACACTTAACAACCTCTGACCCACACATGCAAGCACACAGCTTTAAAGGAATTACTTATAATGTAACAAATCCATCTCAGAGACGTGTTAAATATTTACACACAGTAAAAGAGCCAAAACACAAAAAGAGAACAACCATGTATAAGACACTGACCTGGCAAAACTACCCTAGCACCACAGAAGTCAGAATAGGGGTTTTGGCAGGGACTGTCAGGCCAAAAGTAAAGAAACAGCTAGGCTCAAAGCATCAGCAGTGAAGACCAGAAGCCTGGTAAGACCAGTGTCTTAGCCACTGTCCTACTGCTGTGTAGAGACACGACGACCAAGGCAGCTCTTACAAAAGGAAGCTTCAACTGGAGGCTTGTGCAGTTTGAGAGGCTGACAACCATCATGGCAGAAAGCATGGAGGCAGCAAGAGTAGTACTGGAGAAGTCACTGAAAACCACACCCTGGCTTGCAGGCAGAGAAGGAGGCCCATCCCCTGCTGTGGAACAATTCTTTTCTACACTATGATATGTATTGCTCATATTCACATGACAGACCAGTAGCGGCGTAGGAAGTTAAGCAGGACAGCCAGAGTCAGAGGTACTGGGACGAAGAAGGGCGGAGTCAGGGAGATGCCAGCCAGCTGCCAAGCAAGCAGGTTATGTAGAAAATGAGGTAACAAGCCATCAGCCATGTGGTAAAGCATAGGTAGAAATATGGGTTAATTTAAATTTAAAAGTTAGCTAATACCAAGCCTGAGCTATCAGCAGAGCATTTGCTCAGCCCCATCAAGTAGAGTGGCCACGGTGCCCCTCACTGCTGGGCACAGCACAACCAGGGGAGCAGGGGAGAGGCAGCCGCCCTGGCCCTCCTGAAAGCAGCCTCGCAGCACCATGGTCTCCTGCCGCAGTCTCCTGCACGACCCTCCACGCAATTCCTGCAGCTTGGCCAGCTTGGCATGCTCCACAGGCGATTAATCCTCTAAGTCGGTTATTTGGGACCAGGCACTTGAGACAGGAAGTGTCCTTTTACAATCCCCAATCACAAACTTCCTCCAACAAAACAGAGCCACACCTCCTAATCCTTGTAATCCTTTCAAACAATTTCACTCTCTGGAGACCAAGCACTCAAAAGTATATGAACTTGTGGGGGCATTCTTATTTAAATGACTGCAACCAGTATGAGGAGGGCCCAGCAAACATCAGAGCTATACCATGACCAAAGCAGATGGAATGGTATTTTAACCCCAAACATAAGACCATGGGGACATAAAGCAGCACAAAGCCAAAGCTGCTCAGAACAAGGCAGTGACTAAGGAGAGCTGGGATTGTGACTGCTCACTGGGGAGGCAGGATGCCACCCAAGGCTGCCTTCCCTTTCTTGCCCCTATTCCTACAGCAGATAACTCAAAAAGGAGAAGCACGGTTGTGGATATAATGAGAGAGCAGAGAAAAAAGATGTGAGGAAGGAGTGCCCGACTCTACATCAGTATCCAATAGTGACCAGCGATGAGGTGAAGACTACCAGCTATTTAAAGTCAACTCAAAAGTTGGAAGAAAACCACAGTCACCGCTATTGCTTCACTAGTCCAAGTGTGTACGGAGCTATAGCAGCCCTGTGGTAAGGAGCTGGTGGGGCAGAGAAGAACAGGCCCTATTCATTTGCAAACACCCGGAACCTTTTGTGCTTCTGCACAGGACTCTGAGAAGCAAACCAAAAGTCTTTCAGGTGCTTGTATGGGAGTCCAGGGCCTCTGTGCCTGTGCAGCAGACACTTTACCAACTAACCACCTGTAAGGCTCCAGAAAACGGCAGCTGACTTCTTCTTGCTGCATGGTTTGCTCTAAAGGCCACAGATGTGCTGAGTCACTGCATCTTCACAGCCCTCCTAAGAAGGCACTTTCCCATTTCCCTGATGAGGAAACTCCAGTCTCATGGATGTCAGGTAAGCTATACAAAGTAACACAGACACTAAGTGGTACAGCTGGAATCCTAATCCAGCTATCTTAACCACTGGACCACCGCTACATCAACAGGAAACAATTCAAACAGTAACAGCAAAAATTCATGTGCCCTGCTGGCAGCATGCAGAGAAACAAGTCTCTCCATAAGACGCACTGTAACCTGTCACTCTCAGCTGCCCCGCCTGCAGGAAACAAGAGTGGGTGAACTGACCAGACAGGAATGGGGCAGGTACAATGAGACCCTTCCTTCTCTGGAAAGGCTAAGGAAGTCAGGTTATATGCTGCTCTTAGGCAATCCGAACTATGAACCTCAACAACTTGACAGACACCGAGTACGAGGTTGCACCAGGACAGACGTCTACTGCTCTTGGTTTTAGATGACCAGAAAGGTGAATGTGCTGCTCCCCAGCTATAATTAGTTCACCAGTCCACGGGACCCACATTAAACTAAGCAAAAAATAGGTCGTTAATTTTTCTCACCTATAATTCCCGGGGTCACAATCCCAAGGATCTGACACTGCTTGGGGAACAGCTTCTCGAGGGCAAATGCTGTCTCCATGGTAGTTCTTTTCCTCGCTGTAACATAAAGCAGCACAATTATTAAATATCCACTTTTCATTGTCAAATCTGACAGTGTTAAAAAAAAAAAAAAGACAGACACAAAAAGTAATATTTAACAACCAAAAAGGTTATGAGGCTGGGGGCATAACTCAATTGGTAGAGGACCAGCCTAGCATGCTAGAAGCCTAGGTTCGATCCATCAATCATCAGCCATGGTGCTACATGAATCCCAAAGTGGTGCATGCTGTGGTCCTAGCACTTGAAGGTGGAAGCAAGATGGTGTAAGAGGTCCTTCTTTCTATGTGTTGCTTACATTGGTTAATGAATAAAGAAACTGCTTTGGGCCTGGTGATAGGGCAGAACTTAGGCAGGGAGACAGAACTGAATGCTGGGTGGAAGAAAGCAGTCAGAGAAGCCATGGATCCTCCACCTTAGATGTATGCCGATTAGAATCTCCAGTAAGCCACTGCCACGTGGCGATACACAGATTATCAGAGATGGGTTAAACTGAGATGTAAGAGATAGCCAATAAGAAGTTAGAGCTAATACAGTTTCTGTGTGATTATTTCGGATGTAAGCTAGCCGGGTGGCTAGGACGAACAAGTCCTCCTCCAACAGCAAGATGATCAGAAGTTCAAGGCAATCCTTAGCTATACAGTGAGTTTTGAGGCCAGCCTGGGCTACATGTGACCTTATCTCAAAGAAAAAGGAAGATGCAATAGAAGGAGGGAGGGAGGGAGGAAAGAGGGAGGAATGGAAGGAGATAGGAAGGGAGGGAGGGAAGAAAGAAGAAAGGAAGGTTGGATGTGAGGGAGAGAGGGAGGGAGGGAGGACTTTTGTTTTGTACACAAGGTTTCTCTCTGTAACTGTACTGGCTGTCCTGGAACTGACTTTTGTAGACCAGGCTAGCTTTGAACTCAAGGAGATCCACCTGCCTCTGCCTCCTGAGTGCTCGGAATAAAGGCATGTGCTGCCACCACCACCTGGCAAGCTTGAACATTTTGATTAAAATAAGCGGTTTCCCCATTTTTGTGTCTGTTTTATTCGAATTCTAAACCTACCCTTTGCCATTAATAGTTTGCCCTTGTCCTTACTTTTGCCCAAAGGCATCAAATTTGGCGCAGCACTGAGTCTGAGAGGTGCTATTTACTGGATCTCTGTTCAGCTGGTGTCACGGCACAACTACTACTTGACTCCAGTCAGTTAGATTCAAGCCAGACAATGTACAAATCAAAGTCTGCCAAATGGCCCCATCTTGTGTTCTTGAGCTGGTTTTCCCCTTAGCGAGTCAAGAATGCAGAGTGTCTGCAAACAGCTTTGGAACCCCATAGTGCTGCATCATACATGAACAGGCTTGGATAACCAAAGCCAGGCTCTTGTTTTAACAAAGAGAAGTACAACTGCAGGCTTAGAGTATTTCAAAACAAAAATCTTTCTGAAAAACTTTGTTCCAGTTGGACCAGGAGGTCAGACATCAATCTGCACACAAAGGGCTCCTTAGCTCAAGCCAGACAGAGGCATGAGTACAGGAATGGCGCCCCAAAGCCTCGGAAGGCTTGCTCTTAGCACTAGGAAATGTTGGAAACAAAAACCTAACCCTTTTTTCTATATATACCTCTTTTGTGGCCACGGCACTCCTCCAGGCTAATGAAAGTTTCAGAATCTGCCATGTAGAGGACGGTCCGTGGTAAGATGTGAACATTCTGCAAAGAAAAAGAGAATTGGATCTGAGTCTGTAAATGCTCCTGTGCTCCCCATATATCCGCCACTATCCCTAAGGACAAAAAAGTGACTGCTTCCCCTCCCCCCCAGTCCTCACTGCTCCCTCCACCCTGAGTCCTCTTACTTCTCATGGGTCACTCCTACTCTTATCAGTTTAGTTACTGAGCAGTATTTTTTTTCCACATCAAAATTTATCTCAGGCCTCAAGAAGTTCATTTACTCTTTTAGAACAGACATTTGGTTTACCAGTTAAAGTTGCCTCTCACTTTACTAAACAGGAACGGAAATAAGAAGCATCCCAATGGTGGCGGTGGGTGCACAGGTTGAACCCCCCTTCTGGTTTTCCTTTCCAGCTCCAAGCTCAGTATTACCAGACCTGCCCACACCTGAACATGTTCCCTAGCTGCCAAGCACCTTAAACTTGTTTCCTTTAATGTACCCTAGTACAAACCTCTCAATGCCTGCTCCTAGATGCCACACCCTTTGTACTGGGGACCTGTGACATCGTTACAGCCTGTGCTGTGTCCACTCTGAACAGGGTTCTTCAGACCACTGGTTCCCTAAGCCTCCCATCATAGACATGTGTGCACTAAATGGAAGAGCCTTCTATCACGTGCTTTTCTATCAGAGTGCAATCAGGTGCAGACTATGGGGCACAACTTCACTGCCTTGCAGTCTGGAGGAGGTTTACATGTTTCAGGGTAGGTTCTAGATAAACCAATGAAAGACACTGAATACTATTCTGTGGGCTGGGTAAGACCTATGACCTATGGATACAAATTCTTGGTTTTATTGGACATTTCTGTTTGTTTGTTATGTTTTGTTTTTTGAGACAGGGTTTCTCTGTAGCTTTGGAGCCTGTCCTGGAACTAGCTCTGTAGACCAGGCTGGTCTCAAACTCACAGAGATCCACCTACCTCTGCCTCCCTAGTGCTGGGATTAAAGGCGTGCACCACTGCCGCCCGGATCACTTGACATTTTTTTTAAAGATATTTATTTATTATGTATACAATATTCTGTCTGTGTGTATGCCTGCAGGCCAGAAGAGGGCACCAGACCCCATTATAGATGGTTGTGAACCACCATGTGGTTGCTGGGAATTGAACTCAGGACCTTTGGAAGAGCAGGCAATGCTCTTAACCTCTGAGCCATCTCTCCAGCCCCCACCTGACATTTTTTTAAAGTAACTACTTGACACAATTTAAATTTCCAGAGTTCGTACATATTTTGGGAAGCCCTTTTTTTAGATAAAACCCTGGCAACATTCAGACTGCTTGCCTTTCAGCTATGGCTAGGTAGACGTCCAGTACCTCCAACTCCACTGAGCTACCAGACCCACTTGGTCTATTGGATTAATAATCCTAATAAACCGTGGGATAATTTCACCCAGAAATTTTGCTGAGTGAAGGAGTCAGAGCCTGCTTCTGCCTCTGCCATAACCAGTGGTAAATTTCAAAGTAGTCAGGCCTTGAGCGTCCTGTGTTTAGATAAATATTACAAGCCTTGTCTTGAGATTTTAAGGTTCTTTTTTTCTGGCACTCACACGTCTCCATTTCCCTTCCTAATTCTCACAAGAAACTACGCCAAGCTTCAAACACTCTCACTGTAGCACAAGGAGCCTGGGACTACACTATTCAAACAAGTTACAAATGGCAGGCTGTCTTATAAAAAAAGTTCAAAATATTTCTAAGAGGAAGTTAAGCAACTCCCCTTATATCTATATTAAAATACTCTATCCACAAGATGATTTAAAAAACAGAGAAAGCAGCATGTATCACTTAGAGACCATGCTTCTGCCTCAAGAGTTTGATTTCTTTAGGGCTACTACTAACTGAACTTTAATAGTGATATTATGACAATTCTTAATATCCATTGAAAATTTATAGCCATATATTATAAATAACATATTATATACATTATCTTTTTGCCATTTAATCCTTAGACGAACCCAGTAACCACACAAAAGAATTGTTGTTCTCCCTTTTCAATTTATAAAAATGGAACCTAAGGCTCAGAGAGGTCAAAGCTACATTGCTAGCTTGAGCCAAAAATAGGTCTAAGACTCTCTGCATATAACAACCACTACAATGTATGAAATTCACAGCCAAAGAAGAATAATGCCTACTGTGGTAAAAAGTTGAAAACAGCCACAGGTAGTTTAAAAGAGCATTAAAAAAAAATCACACGACTAGATCACACTAAGTATATAATTTAATAATCTGTTTTCCAACATTTTAAACTTTTGATTTCTTATGTATGTGTCCAAGTGTGTGCTATGTGTGTGCAGGTGCCCTCAGAAACCAGTTGTTACAGGCATTTGTGACTGGGAACTGAACTTAGGTCCTCTGAACAGCAGATAATGCTCTTAACCGCGGAGCCATCCCTCCAGCCCCTTTATGAAGATCTTATCACTGAATGTACCTTGCAATTTATAATTTCATAACTTCTTTTACTGAACAGCGGGTTGGTTTAAGCTCCCTTACTGTATATGATGCTCCAGAAAACACTTCTGTGGAAAAAGCTTTGCTAGTATTTTGAATTTTCCCAAATAACAGATTTTGAAAAACAAACTGTAGGGTTTTGATCAATGTATCAGAGAGAAACAATACTCCAACAGGCCTGGGAGATGCTAGCCAGCCTTCTGGGTATGAGTCCAAGAGTCCAAAAGAGCAAAGAAGAAAACCTACACAAGATGAGCATGGAACTGAGGACAGCACACTTGGGACAGGCATATTAAAGACAAGAGCCAGGGCCGGAGAGATGCTGGAGAGAGCAGATCGATTGCTGTTCTTTCAGAGGACAGAGTTCACAGTCAACTGTTAATTCCAGCTCCAAAGGATCTGATGCATTCTTCTGACCTCCATGGGCACCTGCACACATGTACACATATATAGACAGACACACAGACACACACACAAATAAAAGCTTTGTTTTTTAAGAGCTAGGTTTCCCACTGTCAAAAAGGGAGATATAAACATGAGAGGAAGTGAGACAAAATCTCAGGTAGGATTGGACACATTGCACTTAAAGAAAAGCAAGAGTTTCCATGCACAGATAGAAACAGTAGTTCCAGATACACATAAGGTCAGCTTTCCACCTCTCTTCATTCAAGGACTCAAATGTGGCTATTTAAAAAAGGGGGTGGGCGCATCTGTAATGAGTATGTACAAACTTTTTCTTGTCATTATTTACTTATATAGTCTACTTAGATTAGGTAGAAATAATCTGGAGATTTAAATTTAAATATGAGGGTGAGCTATGCAGGTTAATACAAATACTGTGCCACTTTATGAGGGACCTGAGCATCTGTGGACTTCAATATGGGGCAACGAATACCCTGACAATACCAAAGAACAACTATATATGCAGATACATACATGTACTACTATCTGGGCTAAAGTAGAGGCAGCAAACCCCTCAGCAGTAGTGAGTACTCACACAGTACAAATCTTAGATTCTAAATACCAACTTCCACTAAAAGTAATCAAGACTACTAGAGAAACCACTAATTTCCCGAATGAAGCAGGCAAAAAACAAGCTAAAAACATCTGGTACTAAAAAAGTAAGGTCATCCCTAAAAGACACTGAAGCTGGATTGGGAGCTCACTAGCCAAACCAAAGACAGTGTAAGCAAAAGATAGACACAGTAACAGATATAGCTTTGAATAAGAGACTAACAGCATGTGCAAATATACATATATTTTAAATACATATATATATGAACAAAAGGAAAGAGAAGACTAAGTTTCAAAGTTTCTATCCAGAAATGCTTATTCATTGCAGGCCAGAAAATTTAAAGGTAGAGGCTTCTGGTAGATATCACCTGAATCAAGTAATTTAAAATAATGAGACAAATGAAAACCAGAGGCCACCTGGAAGAATACTGGGAGAACACACCCTTGCTTTCCCATCATTCCTGACGAAATCTAATCAACCTCAGTCACACTCAATTTGTGAATGTTCCACAAATTAACTGGCCTTGAATTTTCTTAAGTGTTCTGGCGGGAAAAGTCAAGCTGGTGAAACTGAACAAATCAAAGAACATTTTAGTTAAAGAAACTTTTAGTTAAAGTTACTGGGAGTTGAATCCTTTTGCTATCAAGAACAGTAATGGGGCAAAATCTGAATGGGAGTCTGAAAACTAGACAGCAGTAGGTTTGCAGTCTCTTACTGAAGGATGCATTTATTACTATCAGCTTTTATTTTAATGCTAAAATTATCTCCAATATGACCAGTGAAAGTCCCTTTCAAGCCAACCTCAGATGTCTTTTTAGGTAACGTATTATCTTAGTTTAGTTTCTATTGCAGTGGTACTGACCAGCACCGAAAGCAATCTGGGGAGGAAAGGGCTTATTTGGCTTACATATCCCTGATGACAGTTCACAGAAGGAAACCAAGGCAGGAACCTGGAGGCAGAAACTGAAGCAGAAGACATAGAGGAGCGATCTTTACTGGCTTGCTCTCCATGGCTTGCTCAGTGTGTTTTCTCATATACCCCAGAACCACCTGCCCAGGGCTGGTACAGCCCACAGTGAGCTGGACCTTCTCACACCAAACACGAATCAAGAAGAAGCTCTACAAACTAGTCTACAGGGCAATTTGATGACGGCATTCACTTGAGGTTCCCTCTTTCTAGCTTGTGTTAAGTTGAAAAAAACAAAACAAAACAAAACAAAAAAAAAAAACCCAAATCTAATAAACTCATGTATTGATGATAATTTTCCAATCTGGAGGTGACACTGTCGTTGAACAGAACATTCATGTTTGCATATTACATATATACTAAGGGATAAGATGTAATGGACCATCAAATTGGCAATTTCCTCTCAAGGGTCCCTGCCTCTCAGTGAGATACCGGAACTTCACTACCGGCTCTATAATCTGTCTTCACCTCCCGGTATAATGACTTTCCTGGATCCAGGGACGCAAATGAGATAAGGGCTGTGACTTAAGTAATTTAGGTAGAAATTTTAGTTTTATTTCTAGTGTGTGACCCTGATAAGAATGCCTTCTTCATTGCAAAACAGAGACAAGTGAAGGAAGGGTCTGCAGAAGTTTTAACAGCGACACCTGTAAACTTCAATTGCCCAACATCAAATGAGCATTCGCAGCACGCCCTTACAACACCTGACGTTTATTACAAAGTCTTTCCGGACCACGAGCATAGGTCCCCAAATTAAAAGCAAAAGCATGTATCATAATCGTAATTTAAAAAAAAAAATTCTGAAAGATGGCCCACCAGCCCTGCAAATATCTGTCCACGGCACACACCCATACTTGCCTCAAGCGCCTCTGCTACCACGCGGACCAAGCAATGTCCTTCCAGGTGGCCGGCCTCCGCCACCCCTGCGGAGATCCAGATCACGCTGCGGTGGGTCCGCAGCACTCTGCGAACACACTCCCTCCATAGGTGGCACACTCCGGCTACCCGCAACAGCGCCTTGGCGGGCAGGAAGGTGAACACACGCTCCACCACCTCCGCGAGGTTACTCAGCACGTAGGTACTTCGCGGGTCGGTGGTGGAGGAGGAGCCGCCGCCGCCCACCGGCTCCATTCCTCGCCTACCGGCCAGAAACCCTACGGAAGCTCAGAAGCCGAGAGGCCGGCACACTGAGCAGGCGCGCGCGCCACTTCCGGCGGGCAGCTTCCGGCACTGGTCTTAAGGCGGCAGCTGTGCGCCGCGTTGTAACGCCTGCGCCGTTCGCCCGGAAAGGAATGGTGCAGCTTGGCCCTTGAGCCGGCTGCAAACACTCGATATTTTCGGTGAATTTGGTTAACACGTTAGCCCTTAAATTTTAAACGAGTATTTTAAATAGCACTCGCTATTCTTTGGTCACTAACTATAATTGCTGCTAGAAGCATACTCCAAAGCAGACCGACATTTTCAAATAGGAAGAACGCTTTTGCTCGTACTAGATCTTCATCCCAGGGCTACTGAAAAACAGGAGACGAGGCCCAAGAGTCTATTTTAACAAACCTTCCAGTGGTTCACATACATATTCTGAACCATAAATGAAAAGAACAGATTCAACTTCATTCCAACTGAATCCAGTTGTTTCCTGATTGCAGGGGTTTTGGTTCCCAACTACTTGGTTTGACCTGGTGCTTCTTGTTTTGGCCTCATAACCCCTGACACTGATATATTTACCTATTACATTTTGAGGTGAGCATGGTGGTGCATGACTAATCCAGCAAGATGGAGGAAGGAGGTTCACAAGGCAAAAACCTGAGCTTCTCAAAAAAATTTAACGTGGGATAATCTAAACACATTAGCAACTTAAGTTTTTGTTTGTTTTGTTTTTCGAGACAGGGTTGGTTTCTCTGTAGCTTTGGAGCCTGTCCTGGACCTAGCTCTTGTAGACCAGGCTGGCCTCGAACTCACAGAGATCCGCCTGCCTCTGCCTCCCAAGTACTGGGATTAAAGGCGTGTGCCACCACCATCCGGCTTTGTTTTGTTTTTAATGTAGAAAAACCTCTTTAAAAGCACCCTGCCACTCAGTAACAAACTGCCACTTTACTCTGGAAACCTTATGGCTACTTAATAGCAAACATAGATGGCAAACAGGCTCCAAACACTTCACTGTACCTCGAGAATGTGTGAAACCCCAAATGTGTTCTGTTAGTAAAAACCCCAACAGGTCTCAGGGTCACCAGGAATCCCAAAGTCCTACTTTCAGGACTATAGGCCCCAAACTACTCAATGGACCCATTGGGGGTGGGCAGCGGCATGTGATGAGGACCAAGGGAAAGCAAAGGCAGTGTGTTTAAGAGGAGGACTTCTAAAAATTCCCACACCTAAGAGGACCTTCGGAGTGGGCCACTGTTTCTGAATGAAATAGGGTGGATGGCATTCAAATAAAACATCCAAACCAAAGAGGAATGGGAAATTTCAGTCATGGAGGAAAAAGAGTATTATCCAAACATACTGAGCCACAATTTCCCTGCCAGATAGCCTGGGCTGGAAAATGGGACAAAAACAAAAACGACAACAACAACAACCCCCCCCCCCCCAAAAAAAAACCCCACATGCATTTGAGTTTAAAGACTGTAAAGGGAATGGCTAAAGAAAAATTGAGTGCACTGTTTGTGCATACCAATTCTAGGTTCCCTATCTCTCTCATTAAATCAGTCTTCATCTCCACCCCTGAAATCTCTCCACACCCATCCTCTCTTAAATACCCTACACTAGAATTTTAGTAGAGCTAGAGACACCTGAATCACGGCATTTCTTATGAGGGAAAGGTGACAAAGCGATTTTTAAATGGTTCTTTATTCATAAACTTGATGCAAGTTTACAAAATTTACTGTACATTGCCAAATAAATCTGCAATGAAAAATAAAATCCAAAAAACAAAGCATGCCAAATGTGCAGCTGTCAAATCCGCTAGCCATTAGGATATTAAAGAATTCAATAATGTATTCAAGATTTTGCCTTAAGGCTTAAGGAACTTTATACTGCTTTGAAGAATTCTGCCTTGTCACTGCTATCTGAGCACTGACAATCATTTAAAGGGAACCAAGTGAGCAAAAATACCAGGTATCTTTAACCTGTCCTCTTAACCAACAAAACAGAATCAGGAAAAATTAAAAACACAAAATGCACAGTGCCAAGTTTCCTGAATGTGGTTTGCAAAGTTTAAAAAGAAAAACAAAAGAATCTAAAATCAAATGTGTAAGAAACACCTTCTGAGTCGGGTGATGGTGGCACGTGCCTTTAGTCCCAACACTCCTCTGTGAGTTCAAGGCCAGCTGTTACACAGAGAAATCTCGAAAATCAAAAACAAAAGCAGAAAGAAAACGAAAAGGAAAAAAACTCTGTACTGGTTTGTGCAGGAAAATGTGCTTCTGGGTTTCTTTATAAAAGTGCTTAATAGCTAGAGTTTATATTTAAATCAAATTCAGGATTATTAAAAAAAAAACTATTACCAACCAAAGAGTACTGATTCAGGTAAGGTGGTAAAATGGAAAGCACATTGATTTGTGTCACATTGTATAAAAGACTAACATATGCAGAATTCTTACTGGTCTTCTGATGGAAAAGCACTGTATGGCTATAGCAAAAAATTTAATGGTCTCCAATTTAGGTATCTTTTATACTTTTGCTCAAGGAGTCTTTGTACCAATCACTTTAGAAGTTTATCAGTTTATCAACAATTGCAACACCCCGTTAATAAGTGGAAAGGTAAAATAACTTCATAGTTTAGAACTTCGGGCTCTACACTGTGGCTCTTCCCAAAAAATGCTGAACCAGAGGAGGCAGGTTCAGCATAGCAGGGGAAAGCACTGCTCACAAATGGCTCACTTTGCTTTCCCTAATATGAAAGACTATAACTAAGACCATTCTTCCAGAAACAGTTCAAACTTTCACACAACCATGAAAAAGTTAACAATTTAATGAAGAGGCTTCCTGTCATAATTTTGGCAATAAAAACATTTCAGACCTGAAAAGGCTATGGTTTAGAAGACTTAAAATTCCTAAACCAGTATTGACCATTAGTTAAACTTTTATTGGCTCTAAACGAACAAGATTTAGAGAAATCTTCATACCCCATAGGCTCAATATAAGAAGGTTACTGTAAATTCACAGCTGCAGTAAACTGATGCTGACTTCCCTGCTTGCTTAAAAGATTTCACTTTTCAAGAAAGAGGTGGTAGGGAGTGGCTATTGTGTGTACTTAATAGGAAAAATACAGTAAAGGCCCCACTGTTCAGTCCAAGATACCTAAAGTGAGCAAAATGAAAAGGCTGTATCTGGATGTCAGTTGACAGATTATCCGCTATATAATCTATTAGCTAATGTCTTCGGTACTGCTGTTATACGGGCACTCAAAAGCTTATGTCTGCACGTTGGAACGATTTTCTTTAAAGCGACATTGGTCCAGACATATGTCAGTGTAGTTAGCCATCTTCCTTTGGAGGTGTGTACCAGCCTAAAATAAAAAGGAAACAACATTAACTACTTCAGTCCTTGAAGCAACTAGGAAAAGGCACTACTAAGATCAGGTCCAGTCTCTACTCATAATTTGTTGTTTAACACTACCGTAGAAACTTAAACTTGTGTTTTGGCTACTAACCCAGCATTCAGGTATGCTCACTGTATCAAGTCACTGCATATGAATAAACCATACTTGAGTTTCCAACACCTATATATGAATGGTATTCCTAGTTGATAATGACAGCATGACCTCATAGTGGTCTACATGCTAACCTTCCATTTCAATTTTGTATTTAAAAAACACCTGGCAATTACAATTTAAAAAAAATACTGGTAGGTAAAGTGTTGTCATGACATAAGATTCTTAGTAGGTGAGGTAGTCTATCACAGAGTTAGTAATCTCATAATGTATGTCCAAACATCAAGTTACACATGATAAGCACACAATTTTGTCAATTTAAAACAAATAAAAAGATGTAAAACTTTGGAAACTAGAATTGCTTTCTGATACTGAACCCACTACTCTTTCATCAATGCAAGGCTTACACACACACAACATTTTCTATAAATATCTTTGAATGTCAATTGTAGGGTTTGCCTTAAGAAAGAAAAGGGAGCAAAGAGGACTGTCTGTCGCTCTTACTCCACATTAAGTCTAAACTCTCATAGAAAGGCAATCAGATGCTCAGTCATGCCTGCCTGGCACAAAGTAGGCATTGGAACACACTGATATACTAGAAATGGCTATTATGGAAGCCTGGGCTTAATCTCATATTGTAAGACCTTCCTTTAAAACTTGGTTTTGACTATTATTTCTAAAAGTATCACTGAAAAAGTGACAAGTGGCATTGTTATTAAAATAAGTGTGCAAGACACAAATCTAATCTTAGAAACGAATATACATATGTAAGTTGAGTGTGCATAGGCCAGAGGTGAACATCCCGTTTCTTCCTCAACTGCTCTCCCCTTTTTTGAGACAGGGTCTCAAATAGAGCTCAATAATTCAGATTGGCTGGCCAGAGAGTTCTCTGTCTCTCCACAGGTGGGATCAGAGGCATCTGCTGTCATACCTGGCTTTTCATGTGGGTTCTGGGAACAAACTCAGTGCCTCATGCTTGCACGGTTAACTTCCCAGCTCAACTAACACATTTCTAGAACGTTAAGACCATTTACTATAGATACTGACCCTTAGGAAAGTTACTTCCTTCTACTCTGCACAAAAGAGCATTAGCTTCTTTCCCATGCTACAATGAACTCTTTGTTCAGGGCACTTGGTTACAAAGTACGCTGCATGGGCACTATTCTTTTTCTTCATGTTTATTAAAGGACACTTTGCCAACTTTAGAGATGAGGAAACTGGGGCTAAAAGAGATCACAGAAATGGCTCAGTGGGTGAAGGCAATTGTCACAAAGCCAGAAAACCTGAGTTTGATTCTCAGAACCCACATGGTATGTGTGGTGAAAAGCACATACACACAAAACACCTATTTCTTTTCTAAATAAATCATAGGACTAAATAAAAAAAAAAAAAACAGAGCTAGGAAGACACATAAATGGCACTTACAAACAAGTCTTCCAAGCCAGGCCAGGTGATGCAGGCCTATAATCCCAGCTACTGGGGAGACTGAAGCAGAAGGATTCAAAATTCAAGGCCTGCCTGAACTGCAGGGT